CGAAAAGAAGGCGGTAAAAATCAACCATATTGAAATGGAAAGAGTAACAGAAGTGGGCGAGTGAAGAGTGAAAAATAATAAACAAGATAAAGAACTGTGTTAAAATAAAGAATTGTGGGACAATACTTAGCATGATAATCTCGCAGACCATTAAGTTCAACCCTCATTGGAAGCGATTTGTATATTACAATGTTAGTAACGTCTGATAAGAATATGAGACGAAATTTTTAATATGTCAAAAAAATCAAGGGTATATGGTTTCGGATCTTTCTTCGAACGCTCGATCTTCTTTCTGTGACGGTGTGAGAGGGTGTTTCATTAATACGGATCAAAGTCAGCAGTAAATAAATCAGTGTTATCGGTGAAAATTTATTTATTTTTCTATTGGATCATGTTATTTAAGTTATGGCAATTATACGTGAGAAATAATATCTTCCAAATGTCCCCTAAATCTGAAAGAAAAAGAAAAACATTATTATTAGACGCTTAAACTTAATTCATATCGTCTAATGATATTTTCTTTTTCTTTCAGATTTGGCGGACATTTTGGGCGATATTATTTTTCACACATAATTGCCATGACTTAAATAACATTACCCAATAGTTTGGTCTGGGTTTGTTTTGCTTTACAGCATATCAACCTCAATAGGTTATTTAATACCGACAATATTTTTAGTGTTGGTAATATTTTCTTTTCTGGTAATTTTCCTTCAAATATGTATCGCTGGTAATATTTTTTTTCAAAAATTAATTGCTGGTAATAATTTTTCCAAAGTATTTCGAATATTAAAACGTATTTTTACACTTTCATAGTGTTTTGACCTCAGTTTGGGGGTTAACTATTTGCCCATAGCAGGGACCCTAACAGGTGCTACCACCCCGGGTCAGGGTGGACCTGAGAACACCAGCAATTAAGAGATAGTTCCACCTTCTGATCAGAGGCCTTGCTTTTGGACGTAGTTTATTGTCGTACCCAGAACGCGGATGTAGTTTATCGTCATACCAAGGACAACATGATCCAATAGAGAAATAAATAAATTTTCACTAATAACATTGATTTATTTACTGCTGACTTTGATCCGTCTTAACGAAACACCCTTATATAATCTGTCTTAATGAATCACCCTTTATATATATATATATATATATATATATATATATATATATATATATATATATAGCTGGCTACTCGTATTCGAGGATGCCCGTCTACTAGGGCAGCTAGCCAATCCCTATTGCAGACGCTCGCTCAGGCGCATTTGTGCTTGTTCAACACCCACAGAGCCCACTTATGGTTTATACTGCAACTATGCTGAGCAGAATTTAGTTACAGTTTTCTGGGGGAGAGCGTCTTATCTAGCGTGATCAACAATTTGAACATGGCCAGAACGCTCAAACCCTCGGGCATGATGACTTGTGACTTTGTGCTAGCACATCTATCGACGGCCCCAAGTGTTCCGTCTACCCAATTTCACTCACAAGGCTTGGGTCAACCCGTGGTATGGATCTCAGGCACTTTCCAAAGATGCCGCACGCTGGGATTGACTCCCTCCAGTCCGATAACCTCAGGAAGTGTCCTTCCTGGCAAATCGACCATGATCGAACCAGGGTCTCATGATCAGAATGCGAACGTTCTAACGTAAATATAGCTATTTAAAAAACAATGAAACCAATATTCCTACCAATTCGTAAAAAATTGCTCTCTATATTTATGTCTATATTTACTGTTATCCTCATCTTTTTTGTCATATTTCGGCCATTGTACACTCCGTCCTTCTTCAGGTTATATGTGCTAGAATTTCGAACAGAACCCTTTATTTAGTCCTAACGGGTAGATTGTTTTAATTCCACGTGCCATACCTTTTTTGGGATATCTCAGTTTCAATTAATTTCCTTTAGCAACTCAGCTCTTCAAGATTTTCTTCCCTCTACTGTGGCCAGGTATTGAACTCACAACACTTTGGGTCAAGTTACTGCATTACTTCAACCAACGCCTTTATCCACTGCGCCATATGTCCACAGCGGTGAGTGATTTTTTTTTTTTTTTTTTTACTTATATTGTCCCAATAACCAATTGTACCAGATCTCAAATTAGAATTTTCTGTTAATTTGTTACTTTTCTGTAGATCTTTGTATTACTGGTTCCCATATTGTATTCATGTTTACGCTTGGCCGGCTTAGGAAATGTTTGTAGCCTCTCATATACGCTGATTCTTTAAGTTTTCGTATTTTCCAGTGATGTCCTCTGTCTATTATTTCAACTTCATCCCACAGCATATATCATCTGAAGAAGATCGGAGCGTACAACGGCAGAAACGCCGTGAATATAACAATAAAGATGAGGAGAACAGTCCGAATAATGTAGTGCAAATAGTCAAAAATTGTATGTCAGAGTAGACAACCCCAGCCAGTGAAAGTATTTTTACGGCCTAGAAACAATTATTTGAGATATGTTTATCTATCCTATGGACAATCTTAGAAAATTTGACACTCACGGGAGAGATTCAAGGAAGAGGGTCAGAGGAAAACAAGACATCAATTACCTAGTGAGATTCAGTAAATGGATAAATGAAGATTTAGGAGAGATAAAAAAAAAGAGAAAATTTGTTAAGAGCTTTAAAGGACAGGAAATTGTGGAGAGCCATGATCACATATGTCTTAAAGTGGCATCAGACAAAGAAGAAGAAGAATGACATTTAGTAAAGGAATGTCGGAGATTTAGGAGAGATAGGAAAACAAAATTTATTAAAAGCTACAAAGGACAGGAAATTGTGGAGAGCCATGATCACCTACGTCCTGAAGGGACACGGCATATAGAAGAAGAAAAAGAAAAATGAACTTGAGTAAATGGATGGCGGAGAAAGGTTTAGGATAGATAACAAAAAGAGAAAATTCTTTAGAGCTATAAAGGACAGGAAATTGTGGAGAGCCATGATCACCTATGTCTTGAAGGGACATCGCACATAGAAGAAGAAGAAGAAGAAGAAGAAGAAGAAGAAGAAGAAGAAGAAGAATGAGTTTGAGTAAATGGATGGCGGATATGTAGGAGATAATAAAGACAAAATTTATTAACAGGTACAAAGAACAGGAAATTGTGGAGAGCCATGATCGCCTACGGCCTGAAGGGACACGGTACATAGAAGAAGAATGAGCTTGAATAAATGGATGGTGGAATATGATTTAGGAGAGATAACAAAAAGAAAATTTATTAAATGTAAAAAAATTTTCCAGTTGTGTGTGTGTGTGTGTGTGTGTGTGTGTGTGTGTGTGTGTGTGTGTGTGTGTGTGTGTGCGCGCGCGCGCACTTGCGTGCGTGTGTACTCGGCATTGTATAGAGTGGAATGAAGAAAACCGAAGGCTTGAAATAATTGTTTAACAGCTTTTATTTATGGTTGAAAGAGAGTGTGAAAAATAGTGGCATTTTGTGGTGGAAAAAATTACTTTCCCAGTTAACAGAGTTTTTCCCCTGAGCAAATATTTCGTACAGAGAGATTGCTCCACTTGTTACCACGAGGAACGAGAAATCTCTGTGAAACTGCTAGTACACTTACGTGTCTTCTGCAGCAACTATCGTTTGTAGTTTTCCCTTTGGTTAGGCGTTTCGAAGGGAGATTTCTCCGCTTGTTCCCACGAGGAATAAGAAATCTGAAGTCAAGCTGCCAGGACAGGACACATGTTTTCTGTAGCAAGGGTTGAAAGTAGCCTTTTAAACTGTGAAGGTAGAAGCCGCTGAAACGAAAGAGTAGAAAAGAGAGACTGAATAAGGCTCGGTCAGCGTTTTATGACTTCTGCGACTTCCGGTTGTTCCCTATTGATTACTTCCGTTGCTGCTACTGCTGAATCGAACAAAGTAAGGACAGGAAATTATGGAGAGCCATCATCGCCTACGTCCTGAAAGGACATGGAACAAAGAAGAAGAAGCCAAAATTATTATTATAATGTGTATATATATTTATTCGTGTAGATCGAACTCCCAAACAGTATCAATCGAATTCGTTTGCTGTCTATTAATCTACGATTGGCGCCCTAAATGAATAGGTACTATAAATTGATTTGATAAACAAAACAATTAATATTTACACATAATAATTTCACTGGTGTTATTTTATAAAGAATGAAACGTAATTAACCAGAAAGGAAATATTTTTAAAACATTTTGCGGGTTTTTTCTTTTACGTCCCACAACCCTAGAATATAGCAATCTTTATTTAAATGGGGAACTTTCAATTTTAACACCGTTTCCGCTCAAAATTGCCAATTAACTTAACAAAAAATTGCTTTCCTGATTAACGCGTGTAAACAATTAATGAAATACTATTTTTTCTTTTTTGCTAATAAAGATGTAAATTTTTAAAAGATAGATATTTTTCGGGTTTTTTTTTTTTATCTCTTTCCTAGCAATGTAAATTTTGAATAGTGAAATATTATTAACCATCATAGAGTCAATTATGATTGCGGGTTGACAGGACGTTCTACATCTATTGTAGGTTAATACATTAGTGTTTGAGCGGAAACGGTGTTAAAATTGAAAGTTCCCCATTTAAATAAAGAATGCTATTTCATTTTTATGGTGGAAGTGGAAATAAACGAAAAGATGCCATTTTACGCATAGCTTCAATTTATTTGAGATTAAGACACACACATGTGTCTCGAAAATAAAACGTTCGAAAAATGTGTCGTTCTTTGTTGTTATGGGAACACAGAAAAAAGTTAAGATTAGATTTTTTTTATGAAGTCGTGTTTTACGCGTTAATTCAGTCATATGTGTGGGTATTTAGCGTTATAAATATTGAAATGTTATAAACAGGCCACGAAGCTTAACCAGTGATGGCAGGGAATCTTTATTGGAACGACATTTTCAATCATTATTTTTTACACCGTGATTTTAGATGAAAATGCGAGGAAAGATTTCATTTTTTTTTTCATTTAGAAAAACGATAAATTGAATAAAAAAAGAGGAAAACGTGAAGTTTTATGTCCAGATTCATTAATATATCTCGTTAGAGATAGATAGATAGATAGATAGATAGATAGATAGATAGATAGATAGATAGATAGATAGATGAGATAGAACAGATATGAACAGACTGAGATAGATAGATAGATAGATAGATAGATAGATAGATAGATAGATAGATAGATAGATAGATAGATAGATAGGGAGAGAGAGAGAGAGAGAGAGAGATCAACAAACTGAGATAGATAGATATCAACAAGCTGATATAGATAGATAGATAGATAGATAGATAGATAGATAGATAGATAGATAATGAAAAGAAAGAAAGAAAGAAAGAAAGAAAGAAAGAAAGAAAGAAAGAAAGAAAATAATGACAAAGGTATTTACTACAGACAAGGGGAGATAACTCGATTTTTAAATAGAAGTATTATCGTAATGGACGTACCTAACTCAACAAGTCTCGCATAAAACTGCTACACAACAAGCAAAATGCTTTAATGCTTAACGTAAGGTGATTGTCGACAAACTGTTTATCCTGTAATTTGTTCGATCTTTGCTGAGAACCTGACTACTGTAGCTTGTACCAGAATAAGATTTATTTATTTCTTCAAAGGGGTGCTGAAAAGTTCTCGGTATGATTCACTTCCCAAAAATCTAACCACATGACCAAACATTTTTTTTAATAACTCCTGTCTTGGTTGGACCGAGAACTTTTTATATGGACATTTGAAAAGTATTTTCTTTGATAATATGCTTAGCTAATATATAATAATAAAGTGTGCAAACAAATTATTTTAATAAAGGACATTTGTCAAGGATATGAATAGAGGTAACAGCTTGTTACAGGTACTGAAGTTTTGAGATTAAATGTTTCCTTATACTAAACATTTTTTTGTAAATAGTTTTATGAATTCGGAAATGCTCGTAAAACAAGTGTGGAATAATGAAAATATTTCACGTCAGAATATCAGACAACTTTTAAACAGGTAAGCAAAAAAAAAATGGAATAACCGGAAATGAATTAGTAGTTATCTGAATTCCAAATAGTAAAAGTGTTGCTACATGACTCAGCAAAAGCTTTCGTGGTATGAGATGTGAATTGGATTCACAGCCGAAGAAAATTATCATTTGGGGTTTAAATTGGTCAGGAAAAAAAAAACATTAGCCCAAAAAGTTTCGATAAAAAAAAAAGTAGGAATAACACATGATTAAAAGAAAAGTGAGAGGTATTAAAATCGCGTTTGTTTTCATGCATGCCTTTATCCAGTCAACTATTTTAAGGTCGCTGGGGCACGACATCTACTTCGGCAATAATACAGTATAACCCGGATATAAGAGAGTTGTCAGGACCGAAGAAGAAGTCTCTTATATCCGGGTTTCTCTTATATTCGGGTTTGGTCTATTTTATATACATTAACACAGGCTCTAATTTGGGACCAGAGAAAATCTCTCTTATATCCGGGTTTCTCTTATATCCGGGTCTCTTACATCCGGGTTACACTGTATATCTAAAACAAGACAACTTGATGGAAGTCACCCCTCTTCAGACTGGACTTTTATAATTGTCCTCCTTTTAGGCATAGTTCCCGCCTATCATTTCATTTACATATTACCCCAATAATAAATTATGATCTCATCTATATATAAACCTGATAGATTACCCTATGATTTTCATTTTTATATTGCCACAAGAAATTACGCTATGATTTCATCTATACTTTACCTTATAAATTACATTATGATTTCAATTACATATTATCCCAGTACGATTTTATGATATTATCTATATATTATCCTAATAAATTACCCTATGATTTTCATCTATATATTATCCTAATAAAATAGCTCTCTTATAGCGAGGGAAGAGATTGATTCATGCCTTTACTGAGGGTAAAAATGTGAAATGAACGCAAATAGCCATGGTCGGAATTTGAATTCGATTTGCTGATTTCAGTTACTCAGACCAAATAGCATTACACCAAACGCTTCAGACTTTTTGTAAATCTTGTAATTAAGTTTGATTTAATAAAACAAGAAAAGAGGGAAAGGCAATATTTAATCATTTCACAAAACAAAATCAAAATAGCGAAGAAGTTTTTAAACGCATGGAAAAAAAATCAAGGAAAAAAAGCAAACGCTTCGTCAATACATTCTGGGTTTATCAAAAAATAAAGACACCTTACAAGGGTGGAAAATCGGGTAAGCAATAAAAGCATGAACGAATGGCAACAAGAGGGAATCTTCCATTAAAAAAAATTAACGGGAGGAGAGACGTGGACAATAATTTAAATTAGAAAGAATTTAGAAGACTTTTAACACAGAGCCAGAAATCTTCAAACATTAAAATGAAGAAAATTCAATGTTACAAATATATATATATATATATATATATATATATATATATATATATATATATATATATATATATATATGTTAGAAAGCGACCAAAGGGAGAAGGACGAAGGAAAGTCAGCCATCAGAAAAAAAAAAACAACTTGAATGCAAAAGTGAAAAGGTTGAGACGAGCACAAAATATTTCTGTGAGAAAGGACAGGAAAACGTAAAAGTAGATAGATAGATAGATAGATAGATAGATAGATAGATAGATAGATAGATAGATAGATTCTCTGAAAGAAAGAAAAAGAAAGAAAGAAACAATATCTGATAGATAGATAGATAGATAGATAGATAGATAGATAGATAGATAGATAGTGATGCACTGAGATAGATAGATAGATAGAAAGACTCTCTGAAAGAAAGAAAGAATATCTTATAGATAGATAGACTCTCTGAAAGAAAGAAAGAAAGAAAGAATATCTTATAGATAGATAGATAGATAGATAGATAGATAGATAGATAGATAGATAGAAAGACTCTCTGAAAGAAAGAAAGAATATCTTATAGATAGATAGATAGATAGATAGATAGATAGATAGATAGATAGATAGATAGATAGATAGACTCTCTGAAAGAAAGAAAGAAAGAAAGAATATCTGATAGATAGATAGATAGATAGATAGATAGATAGATAGATAGATAGATAGATATGAATAGAGTGGAAGAGCTAGACTGAGACAAAATATTAATTTTGCTTCTTATCTCCAAATAAAACATTTTTAACATTTTATTATCCTTGCATTTTTGGCATTCCTTAAAAACTAACTCTGATCTAAATACCGAATTATCTACTATATCCCCTTCATATTTCATTGGTAAGGAAGATTTGCAAATCAGACAGACGCCCGAGAGTGTATGTTATCCTAATTACTACAATCTTAACTATATATATTTCAATTATAGGTGCAATTTTAAATTATAATTACGTGAATCATTCATCCAAAAAACAAATATAGAGGTTAATGATTTAAATGGCGAGAATACATCTTCGCAAACAATATCAATAAGATACACCTACCCCGAACCTGTATATGAATGATATGATCCCTGTTTATAAATTCCAGTTGCATAAGGTCTTTTTAATTTTTTACAATCTTTCGTCTGTTCCTACAGGGATCATATCATTCATATACAGGTTCGGGGTTGGTGTATCTTATTGATATTGTTTGCGAAGATGTATTCTCGCCATTTAAATCATTAACCTCTATATTTGTTTTTTTGTATGAATGATTCATGTAATTATATATATATATATATATATATATATATATATATATACAAACAAATATATATATATATATATATATATATATATATAGGGTGTATCTAAATTACTTTTACAAACTTTGGGGTCGTGTTCCTTACACCAAAACAAGGTAAAATGTTCATATACGCATATATCAAAAAGGCCATCCTTGTACCTCAACACAGCAACTCATAAGAAATGTTCAAAGTGTCCTCCGCTTGCTTATACAAAAACGCATGCACCCCCCCCAGGATCATTGACTGGCGGACCCTTTCACATATTCTCACACGGTGTCGAATGCTTTCGCAGGCCCCCATGACACATTAATGAAGCGCCTCTGCATTATTAATGTCCGCTGCGTAAACCAATTGTTTTAGGTGGTCCCCCAGATAAAACTCCATAGGTCCGTCCCTACCTATCCATCTTTCATGATTGATGTCAGCCAGTGCATCGCGAACAATTTGATTAAAATGTGCTGAAGCATGCATGGACCACAGGCGTCTTAGGATTAGCAGGTGTACATCCTCTAACAGGTCTGGAAGTGTGCTCGAAATAGTCCCTGTAGACAGGCCCTCTAAGACATGCTGGAATAACACATGGGCCTACCAGACAGTCACCTACAATTCCAGCCCACGCATTAATCGTAAACTGATGCTGGTGTTTAGCTGTATTGTTGTTTGTGTAAATTTGTTATTCCATCTCTTCCAAATATTGACTCATCCGTAAACAAATTTGAAAAGACCAACAACGGATCGCCCGTTTGTGCAATAAACCATCGTCCAAAGTTCTCCTGTGGTAAGTGATCATAAGGCGAAAGACCCTGCACACTATGCACTCACAGTTTTTGGTGGGATAGTCCCTGTCTCAGCAACGCGACGATAAACAGCCGCAAAGTTTGGATGACTCGACTTTCTTCGGTTTGGAAACACAATCTGATACAGCCGTGCAGCTTTACGTCCATTTTCATTCCTGCGGCCGTATGCAAAAAGTATATCTGCCTGTTCACGATCTGATTATCCTGCCATGATTATCCTTCTCAGTTAACTCACTACTACACACGTTAAACATTGAAGACAGACTAGCCACAAATGTACACGAATGACAAATGTAACCAAGTCTACGTGGCAGCACAGCGCCATCTACCGTCAACTTTCTTCAAACTTAATAACTCAAAAACAAAGGATTTGCGTGTATATATTTTGTCCTTGTCTTGTTGTGAGGAACCCGCCCCTAAAGTTTTAAAAGTATTTTTGATGCACCCTGTTTATATATATATATATATGTGTGTGTGTGTGTGTGTGTGTGTGTGTGTGTGTGTGTGTGTGTGTGTGTGTGTGTGTTTTGTGGTAGAAAACTTTATGACTGCCATAAAAAGACAAAAATTATTTTTATTGCCATTCCTGATGATAATAAATAATAAATAAAACAGAAAAGCGGGCTAGCTAGCCAGTTTCGAACCTTGCTCAACAGAACTAAATCGAGGTCAATAAATAGAATTAACACTAAAAAAGTGGACAATATGTATTGAGAGGGAAAAAAATTATTGCTTAGATGGAAATTAGTTGGAGGCCCAGTACACAGAGAAGGCTTCAACGATAAAATATTAATGGCCTCCAACACTTTCAAGTGGTAATTCGAGTGGGACTTGCTAAGGATGGTAAATAAGTCCACACTGAAACAAGTAGCACAATTATGGCTATATTTTAGGTGTTCTGCGATGGAAGACCCGTATGCATTGCTCACAATGTCTAAAGACCCGTATGTATTGGTCAGAATGTCTTTTTTTTATGGCAGTCATAAATAGACAACACTTGTCTATATTATTTAATGAAACATGTATGAACATATATACATATCTATCTATATATATATATATATATATATATATATATATATATATATATATATATATATATAAATTCATGAATCATTCATACAACTAAACAAATAGAGAAGTTAATGATTAAAATGGCGAGAATACATCTTCGCAAACAATATAAATAAGATACACCAACCCCGAACCTGTATATGAATGATATGATCCCTGTTTATAAATTCCAGTTGCATAAGGTCTTTTTAATTTTTTACAAGCTTTCGTCTGTTCCTACAGACATCCTCAGGTATGGAAATAGATTTTGTTCTTGTTTTTTACTTCTCGGTAATAAGAGGACAACGAAAATAGAGATGTAATCCGAAAAAATGCTATGAGAAATGTGTTATTGTTTTGAAACATGCGGTCGCAACGCTGAGTTTGAATTTTAAATTTTAAGGTTGCGCGTTTTTGTACAAACATGGGAATAAGAGAATTCTTTTTTACTGGTAAGTTTTCCGTCAATGTGGCATGAACTATATTGCTCAATAATTACAGTAATGTCACACTTATTTAAAAAAACAGACGAAAGCTTGTAAAAAATTAAAAAGACCTTATGCAACTGGAATTTATAAAGAGGGATCATATCATTCATATACAGGTTCGGGGTTGGTGTATCTTTTTGATATTGTTTGCGAAGATGTATTCTCGCCATTTAAATCATTAACCTCTATTTGTTTTATTGTATGAATGATTCATGAATTTATAAATTATAATTGCACTGATAATTTGAAATTAAATATATATATATATATATATATATATATATATATATATATATATAAAAAAAAAGGCTTAAACACTAATATTCCATGGTCATTATTTATTCCATTGGAATCGTAAATACGATCCAATTCATCAGACCTACAAATTCAAAAAGAAAACCGAAAAAACAACTCCGGAAATAAAAACAGAATTTAGAGAGAGTGTATGTATGAGGAGGAGGGAGATTAAACCTTAACAGAGAGAATTTTAGGAGAGGTTGGTGGAAGGGGTTTAAGTAAGAGAAAAATGTATGTTGTCGGATGTCTAATGCATAAAGATACATTTCGTGGTGACATACACACACCATAGACAATATAATGTTAGAGTAAGAGGGAGGGAAAGACGAGGTGGGGGAGAGAGATGGGGCGAAGGAAAGTAAAATTGCGTTTACTTAAAGGGCCGCTTTGTAATTGAGAAAATTTGACAAATTTAATATCGACTACAGGTTACAAATCATATATAAACATATAAAAAATAAATATAACGATTATCTAATCCAGCAAGGATCTATATTTCTATGTTCAAAAACACATGCGAATACACACATTTTCTTTTTGAATTTGTAGGTCTGATGAATTGGATCGTATTTACGATTCCAATGGAATAAATTATGACCATGGAATATTAGTGTTTAAGCCTTTTTATTATATCCTTACTCTGTCCTGGATATTGAGTTCTACCTGGATTCTTCCTTTTGGAATTTTTATTCAAAAAATATACATGTATGGGTATTTATATATTTTGTATATGTATGTATATTTACCACTAATATTATATATATATATATATATATATATATATATATATATATATATATATATATATATATATATATACCCCAAATACTACATTTTCACACAAGAAATGATAAACAAGAATAAACCAATAATGAAGATGAAAAAATTAAAACAAAATTCGTTCTGATATGACATCTATCCCAATATAATAAAAAGCGATCTTTTTTGGACAAAAGAAAACGGAAGGACTTTTTATAAACTCAAAATCGTTAGCTCACAATATAAAAAAGATATTTGTAAAACATGTCATTAAGTTTCACTTAAATGTCTGTTGTCAATATTTTCGTGTGTGTCTGTGTATGTACGATCAGGGTCGGTGTATACTACTCCCGAACCCCTCGACTGGGGTGTATCCAAGCTTGATTGAGGGCCCCGGGCAGTGCTTTGTGACCCTTGCTATCTTATCAACATTTGCTTTTTCCTGCCTACATTTACATACATTGCAAATTAAACTAAGCACAACTGACGAATAAAGAATGAAATATTTTCGCTGATGTTGATGTCATTCTGGGGTCCTTTTTGTTTTTTGTCCAAATCCGTGAATTTGTTTTGCTCATGATAAGTCACAAAAAAATACTGTATAAAATTCACTATTTTTTTATCTGCAATGTTGAATACATCAAAATTATTCAATTTTTTAAGGAGAAAAATCTCAAGCTGATGTTAAAAATGCCACAAAACATTTATTTAAGATGGAATCATCTATTATGACATGTCTCTAATTTGTATTTAGATACATTGTATTTATTTCCAATTTTTCTAGTTGAATTGTTCACCTATATTGCATATGATCCATTATTGTACATAATTAGCTTACAAGAAAATTTGTATTTTTTATAAATACTACCTTATGAAAATTGAGATGTAATAGTGTTGGAGGGGGCGTATCCTAGATTCAGTGGGAGGACACGATACCCTTGCACCGGCCCTGTGTGTGTGTGTGTGTGTGTGTGTGTGTGTGTGTGTGTGTGTGTGTGTGTGTGTGTGTG